TAGTCTGCCATATTCTTACGCAGTCCTCTTTCCCAAGGTCTTATCACAGGTTCTCTCTTGCCTCGTAAAATCCGTCTACTCTCTCCATGATTCACATATTTCACTCGACCCCTGCCACCATATCTGTGCTGCTCGAGGCGTTATTAGCCCTCCCTCTGCGTCTGGGTGATTAATTCGAGGCTAAAGCCTCAGAGTAAGTGTCATGGTTGCGCCTTTTCTACAAGGTCCACGTCTATGGTAAAAACAGACCTAATGTCAGCAAACTAGCTCTGGTATCCGACGCGTCTATCCTGTTTCTATCCCTAATACTAAGTCTATAACTTCCCCTGTCTCTTGTGTGCCAACCTACAAACGTTGTGGTTGAATATTGAAGCTAATCAAGGCAAGCAGTACCAAAACATTTGTGGGTCGGCAGGGCAGGGGAAGTCATAGACTTGGTATTATGGATAGAAACAGGATAAACGCGGCGGAGACTGGAGCTAGTTTGCTGACATTAGGTCTGTTTTTACCATAGACGTGGTCCATGTAGAAAAGGCGTGACCATGACACTTACTCTGAGGCTTTAGCCTCGAATTAATCACACAGACGCAGGGGGAGGGCTAATAACGCCTCGAGCAGCACAGATATGGTGGCAGGGGTCGAGTGAAATATGTGAATCAGGAAGAGAGTAAACGGATCTAACGAGGCAAGAGAGAGCCTGTGATAAGACCTTGGGAAAGAAGACTGCGTAAGAATATAGCAGACTATGATCAACATTCCCAGCACAAGGGTGAAGGGCGTGAGAACGAGAGAGTGGAGTGTGAATGGTTTTCATGAAAGCCGCTCAAAGAAGCACACCACACAGCATCGAAATAGGCACAGTAGCAATTTAAAAAATGAAAGCGTAATAGGAGGATATGGGAAATGTGAATAGCCCAGGGCGTAAGGGGAGATACCATAACTGTTTAGCACACGTTTGGTCAAATGAAAGACTTAGTTGTCTCTTTGACGAGTTGTTGAATGGTGCTAAGAATAGCGAGACCCACTGATGATGCCGACTACGATGC